TAACATGTTTTTCCTTCTGCTCAGATTTAGTTTAATTTGAACTGGTAACAGGGTTTCGCTTTCAAAATAAAATACATCACCATGAAAAAGGTCTCTGAACACACCCCCAGATTGATGATGTATGAAAATTTAATAGTATCCTGAGGGTGGAGTTTTCTTTCATGTCGCTCTGGTTAGCGGTGACATAAAAGAGCTAAATGCCTAAATTGGAAATGTAAATGTCCCACACTGCGCCCCCTAACCATCCTGCTGTACTCATAGAACAACAAGGTGACATGATAAAGAACATTCCACTCCAAAGACTCCGTTCATTTGTATTCAAGGTTCTAAATTATATTCCTCAGTGTTTCCATGAAGGTAAATGGAGTATATAATAGTGTCATATTACCTAACAACCCCCCACCTCGTCCCTCCTCTCATCCTCGTCTCTCATCCCTGTATCGTCTAAAGCAGACCCCCTGCTCTTTCAGCCATTATGTATATGCCTGTGTTCTTTTCCCCATCGCCTTGTTCTAGCTTTCCGTCGGAAATGTCAGCGTGTACTGACCCAAACTGGCTGCCTAGCTTTTCCTTTTTCTGTGTGTGTGTGCAGCGATGGCCTGGCTGAGCTGCAGGAGGGCATTCTCACATAAAGATCACCATGAGTCATCCTGGTGACCTTTGTATGTGTCAACGTGTTCAAAGCCAAACCCCCCACCAACACTTTCTCTCTCTCTCTCTCTCACGCACATTCAGATGGCGGCACATACTCGATTGAGTCCTGCCCGTGTTTTTTGGGGGGGGTTTTCTTTCCCATGCACACTCACACGTTTGCAGTTGTATCATGTCGTCTATTTCGCACATTGATGTTTCTGCTGACGGGCTGTCTATTGACAAAGCTGCGTTCCTTCCTGTTCTCTCCCATTTTCTCTAACACAATGTGTGTGTGTGTGTGTGTGCGTCTGCTGTCTATCCAGGAATGGCCTATTAGTGGTGGAAACTGGGGTCAAGGCACACAAAGCTACCCAGAGATCATCATCACTGGGTAAGACGACACTGATTTCATTAGCCTCGTCTTTATCGTCTCGCCGCAACTCCATTTTCTCTCATCTCTGCTGTGCTGTCGGGTGAACACGGGGAGAAGAGAGGAGTCTGTCTTAAAACATCAAATGTAGATGTTTATATACGCCAATAATGTGCATTTTCCTTTATTTTGAAATGTATCATCCCGCACTAAGCCGTAAACAAGGGGGGGGTAGTTTTATTAACTTAACACATGCACTGAAGAAGTGACATTGTGGTATGGGTTTGGCAGTCGGAGGTTCTCGCTCCTCTTCTTCCTCCCTCCCTCCTCCCTCCTCACTCCTACATGCTGTGTCACTATTCTGTGAAGAGTTTTGTCACCAGTACCAGGTGGAAGATAGAAAGGGAGGATGCATTTGTGGAATTGTGGCAACGGTATGAGTGCTTGTTTAACATGTTCTGCTGTTTGTGCAAAACAACCGACTGACGATGCCAGCAGTCCGCCTCCATGTTTGCTTTTATTCTGAAGTCACGTTTTATCCAGCGAGTTGCTGCAAGTTCCCAAATCTAACCACCGCTCACTTCAATTGCATGTTTAAACGGTCTCTTGTGTGCGTCTCGACTCGATCTGAAAGCGCTTTAATTTTAGAGGTAAAACACTGATGGTAGATCAGGTAGATCAGATTCTTCTACAACAAACCTGGGAAATCTTTTCTGGTTCTGTCTTGTGCATGGAGGAAATGTCATGTTGACACAGAGAGGACGTTCTCTAAAATACTGCCACAAAGTTGGAAGCAAACTTCTAAATCTAGATCTTTTAAATTACTTAAAACATTTTTTTTTCTAAAAGCCTTTTCTTGATGCCAGTAAATAATTGTATTCCCCAATCTTATTTTTCCTCATATAATTTTATGCCTCATATTTGACAAAGTGGATTCTTTAACTCTTATGTCCAAAATAGAAAGACAGCAGGTGGCAAATTCAAATTCATCCCATGTTCTTCTTCTCTCCTCTTTTTCTTTCTTCCCTCTCTTTAATTCCCAGGCACGCTGATGGAACTGTGAAGTTCTGGGATGCCTCTGCAAGTGAGTTCTCTCTGCGGCTTATTCAGGCTTTGTTAAATAATTGTTATTGTCTGGAATGTTCAGACAACAAAAGACATTTTTGAGCTTCAAATGAAAATAGAGAAGGAATGAGTGAATAAAGGGAAGAAAATCTTTTGGA